ATACTATATTAGACAATCATTAGACCTAAAAGAACAATTTTCGATACTACATTAGACCTAAAAGAACGTCACTATTGACTCCAACTGAAAACAAAATTTTACTATCGACTCTCATGCATCCATCCGGTGGATGTTACACAAAGCCATCTGACCCCATGGCTCTGTGGCTGGAGGTTTCACCATTGATGAGTTGAACTCTCTCAAGTCTCCAATAGGAAATTCAGTTAGTTATCATATTATATTGTTGAATCGGTCTTGTTCCTGCTTTATTTCTTCTCTCTTTTTTATTTTCTTTTTTAACGAAACCTAGACTGATTGATTCTCAGAATGAGTTATTTGAGAATGTAACCCACATTCCAATTCAAATGTTCGTTTGTGCAACAAGGAATCAATTTTGTTTTGTTTTGTTTATTAAATAAATACAAAGAGTTTTTGAAGGACAAAATAGATGTCCCTAATTTACAATGGGGTTACTTGGTAATAAAAATGTGCAATAAAAGCATTCCCGGGCATAAGAAAAGCATGCTCTGAAAGGGTTTATGGGCACATTTAGTTAAAGGTTTAGGAGCTTAGGAATGAGTTTCAAATTGTATTCTCATGTTCGGTAAGTGCACTCTTGGGAATGCAATTATGGACTCATGGATATGGACTTCTCATGTAAGGGGAAGTTCAAACCCTTGGCTCACCTTGGAAAACTTTCTTCCCTCATTCTCATCTCGTGAGATTAGACATGGAAAGTTTACTCCCAATAAGTTCAATTCGCGAACTAAATGTACTCTACGGGTTCATTTATAAAATATAAAAAATGCAATTTCATACTAATTCTTAAAATCAGTGAACCAAAATCGCGTACCCTAAAGAATTATATGTGGGATTTAAAACAAAAATGGTGTAAATAAGTTTTCCTATTAATTTTGCAATCAGCAGAATTGTTGGTTCGCAATCAAACAACGAATTTTTTTTTCCTGTCCATCAACATCAAATTTTGACTAACATCGACCTTTTCGCGTTGAGGAGCATCTTTAATTTTGCAAATTTTGAAACCAATGTTTTTATAATCTCTGAAAATGGGTTTGTTTTTCAGTAATTTTCAACTCCTTATCTTTTATATAAGTATCCTTCGTTTTCTATTCCATCAAAATTTTATTCTTTGTTTTTTTTTTTTTTAACGGAGAACAATTTTCAATGGAATTTCAAAGGTCGAAGAAAGAGGAATTAGCGATGTAACATTTGGTATAGCAACAACAATTAGAGTCAGGACGGAACTACAATAACAATATCATCTACTGTCATAGAAATCTGGAAATGAAGTATCACAGCTTAATAGATCTGTCATTTACACTCCTGATACATTAATTAACTGTTTCAACACAAAGGCTAAAAAAGGCAAAAGAAAAAAATTCCGACATTCAAGAATGACCTACACAAAAACAACTAGGCTCAAAATTTGATGATAAAGGAAGTGAAATTGTAATCAGTAGCTTTCCCTCTTCTCACTTCAGTTTTCACGCCTTACTGTCCTTCGGCGGGGAGCAGCAGCTGTTTCCTTCTCGTCCTCAGCCGAAGTACCTTCCTTTTCCTTCTCTTCTTCCTTTTCCTCACTGCTTGAAGCATCGGCGGTTCCAGTGGTTTTCTTCTCAACTCTTGCCTGCGCAACACAAAGACAAAGCAACATTTAGCAACAGCAATAACAAGTATTTCTTTAGTTCTTCTAAGGGCCTAAAAACACTTACAGGTTTCTTCCCACCAAAGAGTAGCTTGATAAATACTGTGAAGATGATCACCGCAATGGAGACAATGATGCCAACGGTGAGATTCGGTTGTTGCTCTGCCTTTTCAATGAGATCCTGCAAGACAAGCTTGGATTTTAGGGTGCATTCCACAAAAATCACCCTCAAAACAGATAATGAACAAAATACTGATGACTTACAATTATCTTAGACTTGTGGGCACTTAAGAAGGGAATATCAGCTACGGCGTATAGGAGGTCAAATACTTTCTTCTGCAGGAATTGAAAATACATTCAATAACCGTGCCAAGTAAACATCATATAAATGCCATAAAACCAAATAGAACTGATATTGCAGAAAGCTTTACCTGGAAGCTGGAGAGGAACCCTTCTGAACCCTGAACATCTTCCTCATCCTTTTGTTTCTCTTTCTCAACTTCAAATTTTGGTTTCCAGGTGGTTTCCCGGTATGTTTCTGCAACTTTCTCATCTTTTGTGATCAAAATGTTGTCGAACAATATACCATCTTGCATTGTCCAAATCTCAATGCCAACAGCAGCTACAGGCTCAAAGTCTGGTTGGTCGGCTTCAAAGTAACTGGGGTTTGGAATCTCCTGAGGCTTCCAGATACCCTTGTAATTAGGGTTGTCGATGAGTGGGGCATGCCATTTCCCCTTGTAAGCTGGATTTCTCTTCATTGGCCTCTTCCATTCACCACAACCAGGGGCTGTCACACACTTTGGGTTTTCGATCTTAGGGGCTTCAAATTCACCATCCTCCTCATCATCCCAATCTTCTGGTTTTGTGGCCTCAGGATCATCTATCTCCTCAGGCTCATCATCCAACCATCCTTCAGGTTTCTCTGCTTCTTCATCTACAATTTCAAGGGGTGCATCCTCGTCCCAGTCCTCTGGCTTTACAGCATTAGGGTCTGGAATTTTGGCTCTCTCATCCCAATCCTCAGGCTTCTTATCTTCTGGATCAGGAATTGTCTTGGTAGGAATAAGAGGAGGCATAAAATCATCAGCTGATAGGAAATTCGCCTTCCTTTTCTCCTCCCCATCAACTAGAATTTGCAACTCATTATCGGGTTTCAGAATGGCAGTGTACACATGAGAAAGTTTGTCAGATGGAACAGAGGGAGGGGTCGTCAGATGGTGCTCAACGTACTCTCCGCTCTTGGGATTCTTATGCTTAAAAATAAAGTGAACCTTGTTTGTGAGTCCACATTTGTCGGGTCCAAACATGATCGAATAAGGAGACTCATTGTCGAATATCTTAGGTTCCCATCCAGCCTCCTGCGGTCGAAGGTATTTCAGATAGGCACCACCACATTCAAGCCCGTTTTGGAGACGAGTCTCAAATTGGAGGACGACAGTTCCATCCTTCAGACTCACAGGCTCCTCAAGCTCCTTCACTATTGCGTACTTCTTAGCCTTCTCACTCACAAGAAGGCCATAATCCTCATGTCCCTCACTCTTTGAATGAGTCCACACACCTAGATGCAAATTAGAAAATAAAATAAGTTTCCAACACACAAAATGGAAAGAAACATGCCAAAATCATGATGGATGAGCTACAATTTTCAGATTGGTTAAGCAGGGAACATTAAAAAAAAACTTCATTTCTGTTATGGGATCACTATGATTCACAGAAACCATGTGATCGCCCAAGAACAAAATCCAAGCACACAATAAACAAACCCATCATAACAGAAGGACTCATTACTGATAAATCTTCATTATACACCTTGAAAATCCTATCATGTAAATATTCATGAATGTAAAAGGCAAAAATTTACAAGTTTTCCCATCGAACTATTTGTATGGTTGTCTAAGTCCATCTAGAGCTGATAGCTTAGCACAATGATCTAAGTTTGGCATACATACATGGCAACCTTTTTAATACAATTCAGATCGATCGCAGAACGATCCAATATCTACAAACAAATACGCATTCATTAACATAAAGATATAAGCTTTTTGCATCAAAATGGAAGAAAGGATGAACCTTGGTAGTCATCTTTGCTAGAAACGGTCCAGCGACCTTCAAATGTTTCATCAAATGAGTCGTAAAAGACCTAAAACGCCAAATCAATCAAAATTCATTAGCAATTGGGATTGAATCTGAGAGTAAATACTGCAGAGGAAGGAGAAGACTCAGATTCATTACCGTATCGTCGGAAGCACATAACTGCTGAAATGAAAGGCAAGCTACGAGCAGAAACAGCACCGGAACGACACCAGCGCGAACCCTAACCATATTTATCTCTCTATTTCTCTCTCTCGCTCTTTCGAGTTCCTTGACAACTCCTTTCTCGATACTGAGTTCTAGTTCTTCTACATATAGATCTCTACAACGCTGCCTTCGACTTGCTTCCACCAATCAAATCACGTGCCACGTTCAATGGGCCAATGGCGTATCGCCACGTCATAAACTTGACGCATCGTTGCGTCCCTCTCGAGTTTGCGACCAACTTTTTGGTTCTGTTCTTTCTTAGTATTGGGCCAGGTCAAAGCCCAAAATGAGTATTGGACCAACTCAAAACGTGAATTTCACTCTACTTTGGGCTTAACTCAACTCAGACCTCTCATATGAGACCTCGTAAAAATAAAAAAAAATAAAAAAAAAGTGAAATTCTAGTTTGTAATCGATGTTGAAAACTCCCTGAAATGAGACCATAAAAGAAAAGAAGATTTCCCTTCTTGTAATGTACATATTAATAACTTCATAGGGAACTGTTGGTATTGGAACTCAAAGCATCTACCGGCAGTCAATAATTGCTGGGTGATCATTCACCTTTGTGTGGAATTGTATCTGGGATTCACCGATGTTTGATTTGCTTGCTATACAGTGTCTGTTTATGGTTGCACAGTCAACAATGAGCTCTGAGAGTGCAAGTGATGACAACTACCTTAGATATGCACCAAGGGATACATCCGGAGTTCTATCTCATTTCAAATTTGGACGCTGGTGTGGTTGAACAGGGGCAAGCTGAACCCGAGCGGAGATTAATCTCATCATTCGGATGTGGGAACAACTCGTGATATTGGGGAGTTTATCATAATTTCTGTATGGTTTAGCATTTAGTATTAAAAATGACATTTATTCTTGCACTCGAAAATCCTATATTCTATGTCCTCATCTCTCAATATTGTTTATATTTAAATAAAATAAGTGATATGTAACATTATAATTTTTTTTGGTAAGCACAGTATAATTTATAATTTATAAGCACATCAGAATCAACGAACTAGCCTTCAATGGCAAAATGTTAATTCGACTGCTCACAACAAAATCAAAATGGCCTGCTCTGTTAGAAAAGTGCAACGGAGAGCTCGAGGCCAAGCAGTTTTACGAGCTTTTGTCCTACGCCATTACTTCAGGCGTCTTAGCCCACGACTCGTTCGTCTCAAGCAAGCTCCTCCTTCGCTCTCTCCCTCACGGTCTCGGCTTTTCTCTCGCCCTTTTCTCTCAGATTCAAAACCCAAATGTCTTCGCCTGCAATTTCATCTTCAAAGCCTACTCTGACAGCTCCTCCCCACAAGAAGCTCTTTATCTCTACAACTTCATACGTCGTCGTTTTCCCCATCTCCTACCGGACAACTACTCCTTCCCTTTCCTCTTCAAAGCGTGCAGTCGTCTCCAGCTTCCCCACAAAGGCCAAGAGCTTCACGCTTTGACACTCATTCTCGGACTGCATGACGACGTTTTCGTTCAAAATGGCCTCGTCTCTATGTACTCTGCGTGTGGCCTACTTGACTCTGCTCGCAAAGTCTTCGACTTGGTACCGGGTCTGATTCGCGACGTGGTATCTTGGAACAGCGTTATTTCTGGTTATTGACAGAGCCATCGCAACTGGGATGCCCTCCAGGTGTTTGAGGAAATGCTCAGTGTTGGGTCTACGAGGCCCGATAAGGTGACTTTGGTCAGTGCTCTCACTGCGTCTGCGAGGTTGGGTTCTCTTGGTTTGGGGAGGAAAATTCATGGGTTGGTGCTTGGAAGTGGGTTTGCATTGGATGTCTTCCTGGGTTCGTCTTTGATCCACACAGAAATGTTGTGTCTATTTTGTAGATACACACTCAAAGATCATCTCTATAGTGGGTTTGCATTGGATGTCTTCCTGGGTTCGTCTTTGATCGACATGTATGCTAAGTGCGGGCGCATGGATGATGCTCGAAAGGTTTTCGACAGAGTTCCACACAGAAATGTTGTGTCTATTTTGTAGATACACATTCAAAGATATCTCTACAAAAAATCACTTGAATCTGATATCATTTGACCATTCAATTGTTTTATGTATAGTTTAAACTTTTAATTAGTGCTAACTATTTATATATATATATATATATAT